ACAAGATTTCCCAGCGGAACCCCTCTGGAGGCTTCTGAAGGATGTACCGACTCGGATTCAGAATCTTGAGGCCTTCCTCCGTGGGAGCCACGAAGAATTGGCTAGAAGAATTGAGTGCGCCATTCGAGATATTCAGGACCGGCTTGTGGACATAATCATGGGTGAGCTCAACACTCGACTTAATAAGTCTCCGCAGGAGTTTTCCAGACAATCAGCTCCCAGAGCGGAGCCCGTTCAACTTCCGTTTCCGGAATCAGAGCCTGTCACGTCACTTCCGGAATTTCGCCCGTCTCTTCCAGAGAAATTTTCAGGTATCCCTAGCAAATGTAAGGGGTTTTTGTTTCAATGCCGACTTATTTTCCAGAACTCTCCAGGCAGCTTTTCCACTGATTACAGGAAGATAAATTTCATCCTTTCTCAGCTAACAGGTAGAGCCTTGGAGTGGGCTCAGGCTAGATTTCCCACTGATGACAGTCTTAATGGCTATTATTCAGACTTCATCTCCGAATTTACTCAGGTTTTCAACCAAGATTCTGACCAAACAATTGACTCTCGAGCTCTGTTAAATCTTAAACAGGGGAACTCCTCTGTAGCGGATTTTTCCATAGACTTCCGGGTTAAAGCTGCAGCCTCAGGCTGGAACGAATGTGCACTTAAGAGTGCATTTTTCAACGCTTTAAACGAGAACTTAAAAGATGAACTTGCCACACTCGAGACACCTGAGACCCTTGAGGAACTTATTAGGCTGTCAATTAGTTTGGATAACCGTCTTCGAACCAGATCTAAGTCTAAGATTAGGAGCCATGTTTTACCTGTTTCTGTTTCTACGGCTAAGAGAAGGGACACCCCTTCCTTTGTTTCTCCCGAAGAGGCATTCAGCACAGAGAGCCGTGCTCAGCCTGAATTTTTACCTGTGTCAAAAGCTCACTTTGCTCCACCAGCTTGTGAACCTGCTGAGGGGGAGCCTATGCAGTTTGGTCACACCAGGCTCACACCCGATGAGAGGAAGAGAAGGTTTAAAGAGAAACTTTGCTTCTATTGTGGTGAACCTGGACATTTTGTTTCTTCCTGTCCTGCGAAGAAAAGGCTTCGGGGGTCATCTAAAATTAAGAGGTGTCTGGTGAAGCACGATCCAAATAGAAAGTCTCCTCATCTTTTGTTACCTGCCACTCTGTTTTGTTCTGATCAGACTCATACTCTGTCGGCCTTTATAGACTCAGGTTGTAAGAGGAACCTTATCGACCCAAATCTGGTTCAGCAGCTGAACATTGAGACCATCCCTCTGAGGAAGCCTTTTAAGGTCTCAGCCATAGATGGAAGGAGTCTACACCAAGTTACCCACAAGACTCAGCCTCTGCAACTTCAAGTTTCTGGTAGTCACCAAGAGACCATAACCTTTTTGGTTTACCCTTCAGCCTGTTCTCCTTTGGTTCTGGGATATGAGTGGTTGGAGCGACACAACCCTCATATAGATTGGGCTCGTAGACACGTTGAATCCTGGTCTCCCTCCTGCCATGCCTCCAGTCAGTCAACCAGTTCCCGCTCCGCAGAACCATCTGGAGTCCCTCTTCGGCCGATCCGAGCATCCAGGGGCCCTCGGTGGGCGCCTCAGGACACCTCGGAGGCTGCACCGGAGTCGTCGTGGGCGGCTCTCTCCATGTTGCAGCCAGAGCTGCAGTCGGTGGCCCTCTCTGAGTCTGCTCCGGTGCCGCAGTGGGCGGCCCCGCCCTGCACCTTTTTCTGAGCTGCAACCAGGTGTCTCCCGGTTAAATATCTGAGACTTTCTTTGTTGACGTCCACCTTTTGTGGATTGTTTTTTGTTCTGGGACTCAGTTTGTTTTTTCCTTTTTATTTCCCTCCGTCCACCCTGGGTGGGTTGGTTTTTTGTTATGGACTCAGCTTCTTGCCTGCCTAGTTTGGTGCCCCCTGCGCCCACCCTTGGTGGGATGTTTTTTGTTGCTTCCTTGTCTCCCTAGGTCTTGTCTGTAGCGTCTGGAAATCCCATCTTTCTCCAGCAGAGTCCGCCGTGGATCCTCTGAGGGAGCCTCCTGCACAGCTGCAGCTCATCTAGATCATCAGAGGATCCACTACTTAAGCTGTCTTCAGACCTTGCCTCAATGCCGCAGTGTTGTTCCAGTTGGTCAGCGCTAAAGCCTAGATCTTTGTGTTATCTCTATGACTTTGAATCCAGGTTGGATTCTAATCACTTTCTCTGTGTTTCCAGGAAACTCGTGTCTCCTCTGTGAAGGCTCAGGCAGAGCTAACCTGCCGAGCCGACCCTCTAAGCCAAACCCTGAAGTTTCTCTGAGAACCTCCAAGCAGCTCTGGACTAGAGCTGGGAAACCAAGGCCAAGGTCTGTTCAAGCCAGACGTGAGACGCTGAAGCAGCAAACGGACTCTGCTGAAAGACTCTCCTCCAGAACCAACAGTGACTCCCCCAGACCTGAACCAGTGCTTTCTGTCTGCTTGTGCAAATAAACTGTCAAACTTTCCATCCCTGTGTCCGTCAGAGGTGTTCTGCATAATTGGGTTACCTCCGAGTTCCAATCATGACACTGCCTCCTTTCCTGACTAAGGAAGATTCCATTCAAGATAAAAATACAACAAACAATATAAAAGAATGTATACAGTACAAAAAAGAATTTAAAAAAAGATAATGTCCTGGAATATGTTTCCTTTAGATATGAAAATATTTGCACAGTAGAGAGGTAAGGGAAGACTACATAGTAGTTGACTTGGGCTATTAGACTTGCACTGCAGAATTATACTGCCCATATAAATAAGTGAAAATTAAACAGACTACACAGTAGTTGACTTGGATTATTGCACTTTTACTTTTTTGCTTGTTTAGCAGTTCCTCCAGATCACTAGCAATCCTGGACCTCTTACTGGGGAAATATTTTACTGTTCTGCTGGAGATAGTGTAATCATGTAGCCAGTAACATCCTCAGTTACTGCATTGATGTCCTCTCCATGTGGCTGTGCATCCCAGTCTATAGCCTCAAAACAACCTTGCAGGGCTTCTTCACAACTCTGTGATCATCTTCTTACAGTTCTTTATAATGCAGGTTGTTTCTTGTAAGGAACATTTGTACTTTAATAAGTACATATGTTCATCTTAGCTCCAAATTCAAATTAAGCTTCAGAATGGAGAAGGGAGGGGCTTTAGTGACCTAGAGAGCTGCAGGGTTGTTTGGTACCAAACTGGTTATTCTGAATCCCAAAAGCTGCTAAACTACTTGGGTTTCCTCTTTTTACAGCAAATGGTCTGAAAATATCAAGTGAGCAAGGTTGTTCAGAGGAAAACTATGTGTTGGTGTCAGAGATTTGAGACCGGGTTGACTTGTTTGCTCAGAATTTAGATGTTACATAGATTTAAATTGCATGAAAATATAGATCCAATATTGTATTGATTCAGACTGCTCCTGCTGCGGTTACTATTACGCTTTTGGGATACATTTTCTTAAATCTTCTAATTACCATGAGCAGTTTTTAAACACACAAAGCCCTAGAGTTTTGTTGTCGACTGTTTGCATCCATTTATGACCACAATGGATCAATCTTTTCATGGAGGATAAAACTCCATATCACACAGCCATGGTTATCTCAAATAGATTTCTTGAACTTGAGAATTATGATTTCATTGTGTTTTCATCTCCACTTTTACCCAAAGCTTTAAAAAATATATTTCTAATACCTTCTTGAATCTCTGTCATACAGAAAATAAAGTAGTTCTGATGAACAAACGGGATCTGAAACAGAACTCTCAGGTGTACGGACTAAAGCAGCTGGTGAGTGTAGATAGGTCCTAAACACACCAAATAATGGGTCTGATCAAGACATATCTCTATCTGGTCATCAAGCTCTCAATCTGGAGCTTTGGGACGTCACATTGACCACCTCACTGTCTGGTTCTTATCTTAAGGCGAGCCGATGGCACTATAATCAGCTTCCTCCTTAGATGCTGAACAGAACCTGTATGTCCAGTCACCAGTCAATTACAAAATCATTACCAAATTTAGAGAAATGACCTCAGAGGAAATATGTCCTGCTCTTAGTCACCGTTGTGCAGACATTCATTGGAGATGTAGTTTTTAGAAATCTCCACCACTCTCTGTGGCTCATTAAAACTGGGAAATGTACTCCCTAAGAAAGCCTAGGTCCTTCGGCATTCACAGCAAGATGCTTCAAATCTTCTATACCTCTGTTGTAGAGAGTGCCTCTTCTGCCATCATTTGCTGGGCTAACATCTGATGCTTTTGCTCAAATGAATTAAAATAAGCTCAACAAGCTAATAAAGAAGGCTGGCTCACTTCTGGGAAATCCTAGAGATGATTGTTCAGAACATTGAAGGTTGTTTAGTAACCCCCAGTACCCTGCAGTGAGGTAGTCACTGTGGAAGTTGTCAAACAGACAGCATTCAGAGTTCCCTTTGTTTGAAGAAACAGTTATAGGTTCTGACCCAAACAGCTGTCCAGCTTTTCTAATCACTATTTCAAACAGAGCACGGAATCCTGTTTTTATGCACTGGAAAAAGATCCTAATAATGTCAGTTATTTTGGCTCAGTATGTCATTTTGCAGTGAATAAAGGTGGTATGTATGTGATCCAGTACCGTTTGTCCTTTGGAAGCATAATTCCCCTCTTAATAAAAAGGCAGAGAGGCAATGAACGTCCTTCTCCTGCTGCTGCTGTTTACGATCAGTATCCCCGCACCAGCTATATTGGAGGAGCACGATATTTTCTGAAAAAAAAAAAAAAATACACGTTTCTTAGTTTCTCTATGCTGATCTTTGCTTTTTCAGATCATTAGTTAAATAACATTAGTTAAATAACTGTTTAGGCTGAAGTTTTGCTCCATGTCAGGTGTCCGTGGAGTCTGGGTAATACCATAGGAAACAGCAACAAATAAGAATGTTTTCATGTTTACACTATAAACCATCTCTGGACTCATTTTTAACTTTACTGCAACAGTTATTTTCACTTCTTTTAACTCCACAGAAAAAATAAAATCCCTGAGAGGTTGGAAGTTGATTCCAGTAGGCGTACATCCGTTGATATCGCCAACATTGTGCAGAACACCAGAGGAGCTCCAGTGGAAGGATCCAAGACCAGCCACCCTGAAGACTTCTCAGAGGGGTTTTTGGATGACCCCGAGGTTCCACCTCTCATATGAGAGGTTTTAAATAAGGAGATTACACAACTCCTATACAGAGCTAGTGAAAACATGCAAAGGCTCATCCTCACTGGATGTTTAAGCTCTGCTTAAAAGCTTTTAAACTCAACATTGACCTACAGTATAGCAAGTACACATCTGTAAACTAACACGAACCTAAAAGGGTCCTGACAGCAAGGTCTGATCTTTCATATAGTTTTTGAAATTTTACATATTTTTTCTAAAAAAAGAAAAGTAAAGATATGAAGTCAAAACATGGTTTTAAAAACTCATCAACAGTCTTGCTTAATGTTAACAGCTAAATGTAATTCTATATTTTCCTGAATGTTAATCCAATGTTTTACATGAATGTAAGCTCAAGTACTGCTTTGTTTGATTTACTGTGAATAAATCTGTTATAATCCTGACGTGTAGATCAGTGCAAGCTCACCCCTGATTTTTTAACCAATACCTTGAGCCCAAATTAAGTGGTGGGCTTTAAGTAGAATAGCTGTTAGATTAATTATTAGCCTAGCTCATAGATTAATTATTAATCAGACTTAGTTTAGCTGACTGATGATTGCGCTCAGCAGTTATTTTAACTTTGCGAAGAGAAAGTCTCTCTCACTCGAAGACTGATGAAAAAGAATAAACCTTAAGTTTAATTCTGCTGCTGATCGACCAAAGTTAGATTTTGTAAAGGAATATGTTTCTCTGATCATAGGTTGATTAAGAACTGTAAATCCTGATGTCATTCTCTTCCCTAATGTTAGTTTCTTTTACTAGTAAACTCAATGACCTGAGTTTTGCCTTTTTGTTGGCTGCTGTTGTAGATTGCTGTGTTGTGATGCTCCCTACTGACCACCTCAGATTCAGATTCATCGCCAGACTTTGATGAGAACCTTCTTTGTGCCCAGAGGACATGGATTTAAAATTATTCTTGAAGTTGCTCTTCTCTCCTTGAATCTCCCTGATGTCTCCAGGGTCTTCACTTTCCTCTGAGTTGTCACCTTAAAAAGCTCCAAGGTCACGCCTATCCTTCCTCACCCTCCTCCTCTTTGGGCCTGGAGGAATCTTTCTGCCGTCCTGACAGTTTCACTCTTTTATTATCTAGGCTATATTTAGACATTGCTGTATGCACCACACGGTTGTTCCGGATGTTTCTGCCTTTATTGCAAGTCGCTTGTACAACGAAAATATTCTCAACAAATGCAGGGTGTCTATTTTTTCTCTTAAGATTTATAAAAACACATCTTCATGTTTTACTCTAACCCAGATCCCAGTAGTTAACTGATAGCACAAACAGATCAGCACTTTTTTGACAGTAGATTTCTACTCAACCTTATTATTTATTGATAAGGAATCTCATCCTCTGACATGTAGCTAGCTATGCAATAAATTACTGTCTGTCCCAAGTTGACTGAAACAAACAAAACTGTGTGTTTTCACATTATTAAAATGGAATGTTTACTTTAAGTTCATATAAATGTGCTACTAATCCGCTTTACCAGCCATATCGAATGAGAATAAACAAAACTAGAAAATTTCTAAAGAAATTTTGAGGGGGGCCACCTACTGCCGGTCTGGGTAACTGGGCCAATACGGCCCTGGCAAGTGACGTCGGGGCTCCCCAGACCAACTGCTTACGCCTTTGAGGGCTGCTGAGGGAAGGAAAACGGGCTAGGTCATGGGCAAAGAGAGCTGTGTGCCACTTGTGCTGAAATCTGGGAAATAGACGTGCACAGCGTATGATGCACAAGGGTAATATGGTTTGTCCATATTGAACCGCAGTGGGTAAAGCGCAGTTGGCGGGCTCCGCCCGCCTGCTAGGAGCCCTTGCAGCGATGAAAAAAATCACCAATGGCGGGCTTCGCCCGCCTTTTAAGAGCCATTGCAGTGATGAAATCACCAATGGCGGGCTCCGCCCGCATGCTCAGAGCCATTGCAGTGATGAAATTACAAATGGCTATGAGCAATATGCCAGAATGTATGAGTGTGTATAAGGAAGAGGCTTTTATTCTGTAGAGTCCCTGTAGTCTTATTTTGAAAGTCTATCATGGATGTGCATCAAAAGATGGGTCATGCCCAGCAGTGATATAGAATCCATTTCCAAATGTTAAATCACTGGTTTTCCATGTTATTAGGTGAATAGCTGCTGTATTACAGAGTAAATGGGAGACTTTTATTGTGAAATTTGCTCTGGGGTGTGTTTTGAAAAGGTCACTAGAGTCTAATAAAAACAACCTGGAAGAGTTTGGGTCATAATGTTGAGCCATTTGCATCAATTATTGCATTAGTATAATCTAGAGGCTTTTATTTTGTAGGGTCCCTGGATTCTTATTTTGAAAGTCCAACAGAGTTGTGTTTAGAGAAAATTTAAAAACCCG